GGCTTCTGTTTACTAGTGATATCATCATGATGCTCCTCCTAGTCTCTGATGGATGCAAAGTCTCTTCCAGAATTGTTGTTAGCGACAGATGCTATTCCCACGGACACTGCTAGCACAACTTGACTGTGCATTTGGTTGTGAAACCTCTCTTCTTTCAGCTCCTGGCTTCAGCCAGATCCTTAGCTAAGCACTTTCTTTTCCTCAGGAGAAGGGTGGGCTCTGCCATACTCTCTTTGGTAGAAAACTCCAAGGCTTTCAACAGCTCAACAGTCCTTACACTTAGCCATGGGATCAGCAAACTGATGGGGGGGGGGGGGGGCAGAGAGGGACAGCTGAGAATGTTCTATCTTGTTCCTTTCAGAGTTTTAATCCCAAGATCTTCCATCTCCAGCAAGAGATTCTTTGCCTCAGAGGTGCTTTAGAACATAGGATAGTGGCACCCCTACTTATTTAGCTAATGCACTCAGACTTAATTTTTTTAACTTAATTTCCTGTTTCTTTGACTTGCCTATTTGTTGGAGATCTCTCTAGTGGAGGGTGTGCATTCTGTGTGCCTGCCAGCATGAATCTCTACTAAGCAGCAGACTACACTTAGTCTTCATCCTTATAGAGGTTACTTTCCCACAAAACTTTCAAGAGCTATGGAGTTCAAGTTCTCCTTGTTTTTCAATTCTAAAACTTCTGCTTTCTGCTCCAGATGAGTAGAATGGGACAAAGACAGAGACAAAGCTATACCTAGGGGGCAAATCCATGGGAGCATAGGAACATTACTGCCTTTATCATGTTTGGGGGGGGCTGATATCAAGATGCCTGATCAATTTATCCCCCTGTCTTCCCTAGCCCAACTGATGAAATTATGGAATGAAAGGGCTGGTTAAAAAAAAAAAAGCAGCCAAGCTTTAAGGTTTTAAATGAAGTGCAAAGAAATGTCTATATTTTATTGGCCCTTTATGAAGTGCAATGAAGTTCTTCAATCATGCTTGATGGGAAAAGGGAAGAGAACCTAAGGATCTGCCATGACCCTTGTTGCCCTTTACCAAGTAGAACATAACCTTCTGAGCAGCCATTTCAGGCAGAAGACAGTTCTATGGAGTGTGACCTCTAGAAATGAAGAAGTCAATTAACCATGGAGCTGCAGAAGAGAAACCTCACCCTTGAGAGGGAACAATCCCTCATCTGGGGCGTGGCAACTTTTTCAAGTGGCACTGTTCACCCATGAAGCATAGAGAGGGTATTCCGTGTGATACTAGTCTAGTCAGTTGAGGCAGGAGACAGCTCTAAGGAATGTGAGTTTGGGCCGTTGAGAAGAAAGCCAGCTTCCGAAGAATTCAACCCTTGAGAGGATTATTATTCTCTGGAGGGAAAGGTATTATCCTCCTCCCTCACCACCATTGTCCCATATGACATTTCTGTAGTAGAATTTTTTCCCCAACAGGAGATAACAAACCCAGCAGGGAGTATGCCCAGTCCAGGACCAAGACTAGAGGAGCTTTGGGAGTCAAGAGAGTTAGCATTGGCTATCTGGAGTTGAGTTTCAGAGAGGGACAGGTCCCAGGCACCCCAGCTGAGTGAACTACCCAGCAAAGACCTGCAGTCAGGGAGAGCTACATATAAAGATGCTACAAGAGAAAGGATAACAGTTTGTGAAAGTCCAGTCATTTGTGGAGCCAGAGTGGGGAAGTCCTTTATTGGTAAAATATATAATAGATGGTAAATTCCACTTTAAACACTAGGAAAACTATGGGGCACTTTCTCCTTTTCTCTGCTTGGTTGTAGGTGGAAGGTATGGATGAGAAGAGATTGTGAAGGAAAGTTTGAGGTTCTAGCTGGTTATGCAAGAGAGATTAGGCAATTGGAAATTCAGAATGGCAATTCAGGAGCATGATCAGGGCTAGAGATATCTATGTGTGTAGGTTATGAATGGACGGATGGACATTTATTAAGCACTTACCATGTGTCAGGCCTTGAGTAGACAGCTCTCTAAGATTATAAGTTGCAAAGAAGCTGTTGTCCTGTTTTGGAAGAGGGAGTTTCCTCATTTTGGAATCCCCTATATCAATCAAATCACTCGTCCATTCCCTTCCTTTTGTCTCTCTCTTCCAAGCATTTTCTGTGGCTGTCTCTTATGCTTGGAATGCTCTCCTTCCTCAGCTCCACCTACTGGTGTCCCTGGCTTCCTTTAAATCCCAACTACAATTCTTTCTTTTCAACCCCTTTTAATTCTAGTGCCTTCCCACTCTTACTTATTTCATATTTATCCTATATATAGCTTGTATGTATTTTTTGTTTTCTTGTTGTCTCTCCCCATTTGATTGTGAACTCCTTGAGGGCAGGGACTGTCTTTTGCTTCTTTTTGTATCTGCAGTACTTAACTTTACTTGTGCCTGGCACATTAGCAGGTCTTTAATAAATGTTGTGATTGTCTATTGACTATGTCCCAGACACTGTGGTAAACTCTGGGTAATCCAAATTTTAAAAGTAAGGCAGTACTTGCCCTCAGGTAATATACAATCTAATAGAGGAAGACAAGACTTATAGGGGAGTGGTGGACAGGATAGGGAGTTTTGGTCTGTGGAATGATGGGATGGGGAGTTGGTCCATAGAGCAGTGATTGATATTACCTTTCCAAAACCAGTAGTATATTTGATAAGATTATTGTGCCCAGAGTAAGAGATGGAAAGAGAAATGGGATGAGGACTGGGGGGAGAGGGGAATGGCAAGGTAGCCTGGGTATCTGGATGGCTAGATGGGATATGGAAGCAAAGCCTGTTCTGAGGTCTGGGGTCAGCTCAAGTGGGCCAGGCAAGCTCTTACTCACAAATCAAGATGGCAGAGCTTCAGGGAGGGAGTTCAAAAAAAATTAATGAATTAACTGAAGGCATGGAATTGGGTGATCTCTCTGAAGGAGAGGGTTTATGAAGAAAAGAGGGCCAATGACAGAGCCTTGAGGGGATTCCCACATTTAAAGAATAGGGGGAAGGTGTCAAAGAAAAGGGATTAGATTTATTCTGCTTGGTCACAAAGACTAGAACATGGAGAATGGTGGAAGTTGCAAGACATGGATTTCAGTTTGATAGAATGGAAAGCTTCCTAAGAATTAGAGCTATCCAAAAATAGAATGGACTGCCTCCAGATCCCAGTTCCCCCTCCTTGAAAGTTTTTTTTAGCAGAAGCTGTATGACCACTTGGCAGAGATGTTGCATATAGAGGGTATTCCAACTTACACCTGTTAAATGGACAACCTCAGATCCCTTCCAACTCTAAGTTTCGGGGACAGAAAAGGAATAAATGATAAACAAAATAGACAAAGAACCAAGAAAAAGCAATGTCACATGAGAGGCGAGGGTATAAAGAAGCAGGGGGTGGTCAATTGTGTCAAATGCCACAGAGAAGAAAGAAAGAAAGAGGACTTTTTAAAAGGGCATTAGATGGGAGGTTGCAGGTGACACTGGAGAGCAGTTTCATTAGAGTGGTGGGAATAAAAGCCAGAATTCAAGAGGTTGAGAAGTGTGTAGGTGGTGTGGCAGCAAAAAGAGATAAAATTATAGCTTGAGGAGGCATCAGGGTCAAAGGACATATAGGAGAGAGCTGAGCATGTTTTAAGGCAGTAAGGAAGGTGCCAGTAGAAAGTCAGGAATTGAAGATGCATGAGAGGGGGAGATAACTGCAGAAATAAGGTCCTGAAGAAAGTGAGAGAAGAAGGGATCAAGAGCATGCGGGCAGAGCAGAGCACTTAGCTTTCACAAGTAGGAGGCCACTTAATCCTCCTGAATTGGTAGGAAGGAGAGGATGGAAGAGGTTATGGAGAATGGAAATGAGAGGTCCCTTTCAGCTCTAACTTACGGTTCTTTAGAGCTTCATCTACTGCCTGCAGCCTTGCCAAGGCTGGGGACAGGGGGGAGGGGATGGGATTAGGAAAATGACACAGAGGGAAGAAACAGATTGTTTGCCCCTGGGAGCCCCAGTCTGAGGGAGGACACAGAACAAACAAAATGAACAGAAATTTGTTTATAAAATCACACATTCGTTTTGGGGGTGGTATAGAACTGGGATGTTTCTATTTTTGTCACTCTATGGCTCCCTCTTCCTGCATCTCATTTTTCAGATCTTATTTAAACTGGAATTGGGTTTGTCTTGCATACTGTGTATGTCTTGCACCTTATACAGGTGGGTGTTTCCATAATCCTTTCTCTGTTATCTTCTGCATATTGCACTCACTCTATATAATGCCCTCTCTCCCTTTTCAGTCTACTGAATTTGGACCAGGAAGGCTTATGCCCTCTCTCCTCACCTCTAAGGGAGGCTGGAGAAGCCCAGAGGGAGCCCCTACACCCTCCAGTCATCTCCTTCCCTCGGGCCACTGTGCTCCCTGGTCGGGGACGGACCTCAGGGTCTCTCAAGCTTGATTCCTACTTAGTGGCCTCGGGAAATGCTCTCCTGACCTTTCCAGCCATTGCGGCTTCGGTTGAGAAACCTGAGGCCACCCGCTTTGAGCCCTGGGTGGGTCCTCCCTCGGGACTTGGGGGCGTGGCCGCTGAGGTCCTTGGAATACCGCAGGCTAAGGTTCCCTTCCTCTGCCTTAGGTCACTCTAGAGGAAAGCCGGGGGTCCCCCTGGTGGGGGCGGGGACAAAGGTGGGCGTGACCTGTCCTCCACGTCACGGCGGGGCGGGGCGCCGGGTGGAGAGTCCCGCGGGGGTGGAGCCCAGAAGCAGTGACATCAGGCCGGTTGGAAGTGCCGGCTGAGGCGCTCCTAGGAGGGGGGCGGGTGTAGCGGGGTTTATAAGCGAAGCGGGAGAGCCAGAGCTGAGAGCCGCAGCCCAAGGTGCTCGGGCGTCCCCATACGCCCTCCTCGGGCCCGCAGTCCGCGAGACGGGCGGGCAGGCAGGGGCAGGCAGGGACAGGCGCGGGGGCGGGCAGGCAGGGGCCGCGGGGATCCGGGGGTGGCGGGGGCCGAGCTGGCCCGGGCAGGGGATGCGGCCACGACCACGGCCGCGGAGCCATGTCGGTGCCGCTGCTGAAGATCGGGGCTGTGCTCAGCACCATGGCCATGGTCACCAACTGGATGTCGCAGACGCTGCCCTCGCTCGTGGGGCTCAACGGGACCGTGTCCCGCGCGGGCACCTCCGAGAGGATCGTGAGTGACTGCGGGGCGGGGGGCGTGGTGGGTTCCAGGGCCCGGCTGGGTTCTGGGTGTCGAACTTTGGCGGCGCCCTGCCGCCTGGCTTCTTTGGGAAAATCCTATTTCTTATCTCTAGCGTAGACGCCAGTGGCAGATTTATCTGTCTGCTGTCTGAGAGGCGGAATAAGCTCACATTGTGAACCCCCCTCCTTCCACTCCTCCCCCGCCTTCGGGCACCGGCTCCTCTACCCTGCCTCCCAACCCCAGGCGGGAAAACTGATGTCCTCCAGAGGACTGAATGGGTGGAGGGGCTGGCGACTTCCCCCCTCCTGCCCCGTGCTGCCCCGTTATCATTTGAATGTTTAAGCCTTAAATGAGTGTGCTAGGCAGCCCGACCCTTAGGGGAACAGGGTAAGCTGCGGATACAGAAATTAAAAGCTTCAAGCTTTGGTTCCTGTGCTTGTGGGTGTCTCTCAGTGTGTCATTGCTGGATTTATTGCTGTGTCTAGTTGCTGTATGTCTCATGTGCAAGCCTGTGTTTATTCCTTTGTGGCCCTCTTCCTGTGTTACCATGCGACTCCCTGTGATGCTCTTACTTTGTCCTGGGTGTTGCTGTGTCTACTTTACAGTCTGGGTATTGCTGTGCGTGTCTGAGGGTGTAGCTTTCTGGGTTTCTGTGTTTGCACACCTCCCCCCCCCCAAATCTCTTCCCCTTCATTAACTATCTCACCATGTGCTGAATATTTATTCCCATAACAAGTTGGCCCAGAGAGGGACCTGCACTGGGGCTGGGCATGATGCCACTTCCAGAGGTGACTGGGATTGCCTTCCCCCACTTTGCTGGCAAAGCATCAGGACTGCCACAGCTCCAGGGGAAATGAAGCCAAAAATGAGATTAATGTGGCAGAACCAACCCTCACTGACCCCAGCCCCAGCCAAGAGTGCAAGAAAGTGCTTCCCACTGGAGAGCATGACAGTGACCAGCCTGTTGAGTGTCACAGATTCACACCCCTACTCCCCAAAAGTGCATTCTTTCCTTGTGTCTCTACTTCTCCCCTCTGTCCTCGGTAAACTGCTCTGTAACTCTCCTCCCCACCCCCCACCCCCACCCCCATCTTTCTAGGGTTTGGGGAAAAGAAAAATGTGTCCTAGCTTCTGCTACTGAGACAAAAACTGTCCCCCGCTCCATAATTCCTTGGTTTACCAGTAGAATCTACCCCACCTCCTTAAAATGGAAGGAGGTGGAAGGAACATAATCAGCATATGGGACATTTTGAGAGCTCTTCCTGAGTCTGATTGAGTACCTAACTATATAGCACTTGGCAGATTTGGAACCAAAGTCTAGATCTTCAGGTGTGATCATGTTTCCAAGTGAGAATATGCTTAACTCAAGGAGGGAGAGAGGGGAGGGAGGGAATTCTGAGAAGACTGTCCTGTGGCAACCAGAAATCATACCTCAGATTCATAGACTGTCAGAAATGGAAGAGACTTTAAAAATGGAGAAACTGAGGCTCAACAAGGGGAAGGGGTTTGCCCAGCTCACACAGTGACACCACATGCCTAATTTTTCCTCTTATTGCTAGAAACCCTTTGGTGGTTCCCCATTGTCTATAAAATAAAATACAAACTACATAGCCTGACAATGAAAAGCTTCCACAATCTGCCTTAATTCATATCACATAGGGACTATATTAAAAAAAAAAAAACTTTCTCCAGCATTGAACACAGGATCCTGCACATAGTAGGTGCTTAATCAATGTTTGCTGGATTGAACTTGAAGACTAAACAAGGATTACTTCAGAGCAGAGTCTACTCCAGAGGTGGGGAACCTGTGCCCTTGAGGCCACATGTGGCCTTCTAGGCCCTTGGATGCAGCCTTTTGACTGAGTCCAAGTTTTACAAACAAATCCATTTATTAAGGGGATTTGTTCTGTGAAGTTTGGATTCAGTCAAAGGGCTGCACTTGAGGACCTAGAAGGCCACATGTTGCATCGAGCCTGCAGGTTCCCCACCCCTGGTTTACCCCTTTCTCCAGGGAACCCTTTGAACCTCCTGAGGTTTATTGGTTTGGGCCATTTGCAGGGCCTAAGGTATGGACAAAGGGTGACTAGAAAGATAAAATAACATTATAGGAGGTATTTTGACAAGCTAGAGCCTATGTATTCAGGCAACCAGTATTTTAAGGGGAGTGAAGATCATTTTATATGAGGAGCCATTGAAGGAACTGAGGGGGAAAGAAGACTGATGAGGGTAGGGGGTAGATATGATTACTGCCTTCAGATATCTAAAGAGCTGTGAAAGATGGATTAGCTTTATTCTATCTCTTCCCCCCTCCCCCTGCCCCCCTCCACTCCAGTGCAGAACTAAGCTCCTTAAAGACAGAATCTTGTTTCATCTTTGTATCTCTGGCACCTAATACTGTGCATTACACATCTAGTAAGTACATAAAAAAAGGTTGCCTTGAATAATGTGTTATGGAAAGTTAGATTTTGTCTCTATAGAAGGAAGAGTTTTCTAACCATTGGAACTCTCCAAACAATGATAAAACTGTCCCTATCCATCAAAAGCTAGGTGAATATTTGTCAGGGAGATTGTAGAAAGGTATATGAGGCATCTAGGTGGCTAAGTGGATAGAGCACTGAGCCTAAAGTCAGGAAGCCCTGAGTTCACATCCAGCCTCAAATCTGGCTGTGTGACCCTGAGCAAGTCACTTAACCTCCACTAGAGAAGGAAATGGCAAATCCTTCCAGTATCTTTGCCAAGAAAACCCTATGGACAGTATTGGTGTGCTATGGTCATGAAGAGTCAGACATAACTGAGCAACAACAACGAAAACAACAATTCATTCTTCTAATAGCTGTAGTAGTTGAGTGACTTCTGATGTCCCTTTACATCTAGGATTCAGTACGGTTCTATATTTGTCTTGTTCTGAGTACTAGACATCTCCTGATGTAGTCTAAGATGACATTACCTACATCACACTATTAGATACCTCCCACATACACCACCATTTTTCCCCCATGGAGATAATAGCTGCCCATCCCAGGCCTCTCCCAACCCCACCTGCCCTTGCTCACACTTGAATGATGGTCCAAAGCATGGTAAACTCTGGAATTGTTAAGGTTAAAGGTAATGCTGCCCCCACAAACTGCCAGGGACTGTTCAGCACCATGGTCAGTGATCAAGGGACTTCATTACACCCTGGAAAGCTCCTGAGTCCGTTTCCATCAGCTGATATGAATAAAATCACTTCTGCTCCCTGTTCTCATCAACTCCAGCTCAGTCTGTTTGAGATACCAAAGTACTTCAGAATTTCTGGGCTTCTGGGAAAAAAACCAAAGAGATGGTTTTTGGGAAGGCCAAGAGGCAAGATCTGGAGAAGAAAAAAGAAACTATCAGCCAAGTTAGGCATCTGAGAAAATGGCTTAAAAAGTTAGTTCCCAGCTCTAATTACATCAGTGTATGCGAACTCCATTGGTCAAAAGCTTTTTTTTTTTTTTTTTTACAGATCCTGTGTGGATTTATAGCTGCCTTTAGTGTCGTGAGAATGTTGGCTTGGAATTAATTGGGTCCTCCTGAGAGCCTCCTTGATTCCTTCCCCTATGACTCCTGCCCAGGAGTACTCTAGCTGTATCTGTCCTTCTCCATCTCTCTATATCCATTTCTAGTGTGTGCTAGTATCTCTCTATATCCATTTCTTTATCTGTATATGTCTTCCAGTGGCTGTCTCTTTCCATGTATCTTTCTGTGTGCCTATATTTATCTCTATCTTTATCTATTTGTGTCTACCTCTATGTATCCCTTTGCTTTCTCTGTATCTGTGCATAAGAGACTCAGTGTAGTGTGACATGCTGAGCCTGGAGTAAAAAAGAACTGTTTGAATCCTGCGTTCTACACTTACTATCATGAGCAAGTTATTTATCAATTTCTTCATGTGTAAAACAGGGATACCTGTAGTAGTAATTGCCTCACAGGTTTGTTATGAGACTTAAATGTGTTTATGCTCATAAAGTACTTTGTGGACCTTAAAGTACTCTATAAATGTGAGCTATTATTCCCTGTAGCTATGTATCTCCCTCTTTATCTCTGTGTGTCAGGCTCTGTTTCTGTGTGTGTGCTGCTGTATGTCACTGTGTGTCTGTTCTTAGAGCTTATCTATATGTGTTGGTTTTTCTCTCTGTGTATCTGTTTGTGTGTCTATCTCTCTAGCTCTGTGTCTGTGGAGTCTGTATCTCTCTTTCTCTGTGTATGTCTCACTGTATATCTGTGTCTCTGCCTCTATTTCTCTTTATCTGTATCTCTCTCCATCCAAAAGAGTTCAGGCTTGAAGGATAGCACTGCTGCCCACTTGCACTCAGGGACACTTGGGTAACACAAAGTTAAAAAATAAATAGGAAAAATCTAGTGTTAGCTGATACCAGTATCTATAGCTCAATAACTATATCATGTGTATTTGTCTCTATCTCACTTTCTGTCTTTGTCTTTCTGGGTGTATTTCTCTTCCCATGTCTCTCTCCCTTTCCATCTTTCTTCTGTATCCCCATTTCCATCACTATTACATTTCTCTTCTTTCTCTCTTTGCCTCCCCTCTCTCCCTCTCTTTTCTTCTCTATCTATCCTTTTTTCCTTCTAACTCTCTCACTCTTGTATCTGTTTCTCTTTTTCTGGCTCTCTCTCTTTATACTTCTCTGTTTCTCTGCCTCTCTGTGCTTCTTTCTCTCTGTCTCTCTGCTTCTCTCTTTGCCCCTTCTGCCTCTCTTTTTCATTCTTTTTCCTCTCCCTTCTCTCTATTTCTCTCATTCATTGACTCTCATTCTCTGTCTCTCTCCTTCTCTCTATATCTTTCTCCCAGATTTTCTCTATCTGTCCTCTGCATCTCCTTAACTACCTTTTCCTTCCTGTATCTGTGCTCTCTTTGCCTCTACATTCTCCCTATCTCCATGTCTCCCCCTTCCCAACTTTCTCCCTCTTTGTTCCTCTGCTTGTCTCTGTTCTCACTCTCTCTCCCTGCCTCT